TTCACATTGTGGCGCAGAAGTGTCTGATAAATTTGGGATGAATAAAATTCTGATGGTGAACAATTCGTCATTTTGCCAGTTTGAATGATTGTCATATGCTTTGGCATTATTGTGATTAATATAAAGAATTTTGTTTTCATTTTAAGCATCATTCTTGCTTCTATTAATCTTTCAATAATTCTCAGTATTTTTTCTTGTTTGTGGGTTGTGGCGTGTTAACCACTACACGTACATGTTCTGGTTTTGGTTTAACACCATGAGTGAGTAGGTGAACGACATAATTGATTTCATCCTTACCGTTTTCTGCTTTGTCAGTGTTGTAACTAAGGAAACAGTTAAGAAATAACAAAACAAGAGTTTGCATATAAATCGTATATTGAACAGTAAGTACAACAGAAGAGTATTACACGACTTGTGAGTGGGTGTCGGTTGACCAGCGTTCAATCTAATCCACTGTTTTTCCGAGGCTTACTCTCCTAATAATTTTATAGTACGCGGAAGAGTCCACAATAGACTCTTTAGAGGGAGGACACCACAACAGTCAGGTTTTAATTTAAGACCTAATTGAGAAACTCAGTGGAGAACATCTCGAAGTCGCTTGTCTTGTTCTTTGTTGGAACTTCCCATACCAAAATATCATCGACAATGACTTTTACGCCCTCAATTCCTTCCATGATGTTTTCCATAGCCCATTTCATAATGTCTCCTGAGCTACATAATCCAAACGGTAGATGAAGGAAGCTGTATCTGCCGAATATGGCATTTATGGTACATAACTTTGAGCTCTCCTCGTTTAGCTCTATGTGCTAATTACTGTGCTGAACATCAAGTTTAGAAACCTTTGCATTTTCAATTTCTGCGGCAACTTCGTCAACCGTGGTTGTTGGGTGATGCTCACACATGGTGACTTTCTTAAGGTCTGCAGGATTGATACAAATTCGTAGTTGTCACCTTGTACAGTGGCCATAGATTTGACCCATGGCTATGACACCAAGCTTCCCCATGCAGTCAAGCTCTTTCATCTCATTTCCGATTGCATAAACAGCCCTTTGTGGGAGAGTATACGGGCGTAGCATCTGGTTTTAGTAAGAGGGACTATTGACCAGGTAGCCTCCCAAGGCCTTCACATAACCGGACAGTCTAGTGATAAATTCACAGTATTTACCTCAGTACTTTGTTTACATATATATATATATATATATATATATATATATATATATATATATATATATATATATTGGCATCTTATAATAATATAGAAAGTTCCTGATTCCACCTTTTATACTTAATCCTTAAAGGTGTCAAATCAAATCTAAAATGGCGTATGGCTGTCATATCCAATCCTCTCCGGCCTTGACAGAGTTCAAATGCATTAGCATGGCCTTGTAGGCGTGCTGTAAATGCTAAAAAAAAAGCACCCACCCACAGACTTTTCAGCAATTCTAAATCTAGACATGCATCTTTTTCCAGGATAGGGGAGACCTTGAAATGTTAGGTGTCTTACTTTGTCGATAGAGCATCTCAGTTTTAACTACCCTTCGAGTTAGATGATATATCGACTGCAACTATTCAGTCGGACGATGGTCGTTTGTAATGAATTCGTGTAAAATATACGCGGTATATTTGTGGCTATTATGTTGGCCTATACTGCATTGTCCAGCTTGAATGTAATAGTTGTAGTGTCATTTACCTTGATCTCTTGTGTCCAGTCAGGTGTCACTGCGTTTGTTTCTAATGTGATACCGTCGGGAAATAAGCATCGGTAAGAAGATAAATCATCACTTTCCGACACACCTTGTCGTTTAGAACGGCACATGCTGGCAAAATGGTCGGGTCTGTGGCCTCTTATGCATCACATGTCCTTCCGTAAGTAGAGCATTGTTTCGGTGGGTGCTTTTTTTTAGCTTTTACAGCACGCCTACAAGGCCATGTTAATGCATTTGAACTCTGTCAAGGCCGGAGAGGATTGGATATGACAGCGATACGGCATTTTAGATTTGATCTGACACCTTTAAGGATTAAGTAAATAAAGGTGGAATCAGGAACTTTCTATATTATTATAAGGTGCCAATATATATATATATATATATATATATATATATATATAAAAAAAGGACTGGTAAAACTAACACAAAGCCTGCCAGGTGACCAAAGAAAAAATTATGAAAAAGAAAAACCAACAACTAAAAAAATAAAACCAAGAAAAAAAAACAATAGAATAAAAAAAAGGAAAGTGAAACATAAACTAAGAAGAAAAAACCCAAAAGACAGACAGCTACCTGAACAGTCAAAGAAAGTGCTCTACGTCTAAATTACCAAGACAGAACAATTACGCTACCCAGTGTCACTACTCAGAGACAAAATCGGACCGCTTTTCAGCACTGGTTACCTAATGGTTGCGATAAGATTGTATCTATGATTTTGGACGGGTGTTCTGATATTGGGACGGTGGGGTTTTTAATTTTCCCATTTTTGGGGGTTTCTTGGTACCTTGTTCCGAAGTTCTTCTTATATTGATATTCTCTGTTTATGCTTTTTACTTGGGTCGTACTGATTTCAATTCCTCGGCATTTGTCTATATAGCTGTTTTTAACGTTAATTCAGAGTCCCAAAGTAGTAACACCTGTGTATGTTTGTTTTGGATTCCACAGACAATCCTGTCTTTGATTAAGTCATCCTGGAGATTGCCAAATTCGCAATCGTTAGCTCTCAGCTTTATGTCAGTCAGGAACGTGTCAAATTTTTCTGAACGTAACTGGTTTCTGCTGAAAAATAAGTACGTTATTTTTTTTTTTTTTTGATTGGCAGTATTCCCGGAATTTATTTTTTACACATTGTATTTTATTTTTATCGTCTGGCTTCTCAAATTCTCTGAATTCTGATGAATTGAAAATTTGCTGAGCTTCTGGTACAGTTATGTGTTGGAGATTTGCAACTTTTATTATAGTTCATCTTTTCCTATCACTCCAGCAGCGAGTGAATACAAATAATATTATTGCTTCCGTGCTTCGTAATTTTCATCCAGGTCTCCGTCAAAATTTAGTTTTTTGATGGTTTCAAACTCATTTTTTTTTCAGTGCATATTCGTTTTAAGTTATTTCAAGATATCTGTATGAGTGTATGTTGGATTCGTACTGCGATAAAACTTTGTTTCAAAGCAAGGAATACTTCATTTATATTTTTTTGTTATTTTTAATGTTTTTTTGTTTTTTTTTGTACGTGTGGTCAAGTTGTGTTATACTGGAACCATGTTATGATATGACATTGTTATAGAGCTATTTTCTGCGCGCCCAAGTCGCTACCGAATGTGACACAAGGTCGAAGTTTAGAGTGGGTTTGACTGCAATACCGTGAAAATATTACTTAAGTCCCCTCGGCACATCCCCTTTTGTGGACGCCTCAGACGTCGGACAATAAACCTAGCCTCCCTCCGCCCAAGAAGAGGTACTGCCTAGGGAGAAGGCCCCCTGGGGTTATGATATTGTTGCACATGTCTAAAAAAATAAGTAGAACACGATTAACATTTTAACAGGCGCCATAACGAACAGACAGACGACTGACCTGCGGCGATTTTGATTGGTTAATAAGGGAATGGACTAAGAGAGATAATGAGTGTTGTATTTACTCAATACATCACAACATTCTTGCATTGTTTCTCCATCCTTGGCAGATCTTCTGTTATCACAATGTGAGACATTTAATAACAAATTTGATGGAAGCATAAACATTAAGAAAAATAATCTGAATTAAATCTGCTAGATTATATACACCAAAATATATTTAAAAAAAAAACTGTTAAATCTAAAATTCTTAGTTTGTATTTCCTTCTGAGTCTCATCAATGTATATATATATATATATATATATGTCAGTTCATATCTCTCTATCTACCTATCTCTTTCTATCTATCTATCTATCTATCTATCTATCTATATATATATATATATATATATATATAGTGTGTGTATGTATGTATGTATCAGTTTATTCAAATCTATCACAGTTTATTTAAATTTATCTATCTCAGTTTGTTCATATCTATTTATTTAGCTGTTAGTTTGTTCAAAAATATATATCTATCAATGTAATCTCAGTCTGATCATATACTTTTCAGTATATTGGTCTGAATCACTTTATGTGGGCTTTTGTTGTTAGTCTATTTGATATAACTTACAATATATTTGTGCTCAAAATGTTAATATGTTCACATGTAGAATATTTTTATATGAAAATGCTTTATGACATTTTAAAAATTGATTGTAAGATTTCTTTGCATAAAGGACGGAATACCTTTAACCTTTTGAAAAAATAATCAACAATCAATATTAACCCTTTTTATTGTTGGATTCTTTCCAAAAAAAGAACTGTAAAGTTCGAATCTTTGTTCTTTTTCTTTTGAGATCCGGTGGAAGGGAAAATACATTGGCAAAGGAGTTAAATTAAAGTTTAAAGTTTCTAATGTCATCGTTATGAAATAATCTGTTTTGTTTAGTCTTATTTTGGTATTCTTTAAATCTGGGCTTGTACCAGATTTAGTTTAGTCTATATAAAAGCATTCAATTAGAGAACAGATTAACATCTACAAATGAGAATTCTATACTGAGAACTCCTTGTATGTATCCTTATGCCAACATTTTTTTGTCAAAGAAAATCTGGACATTTGTATGAGCTGCAGAGAAAAACGGGACAACCGAATATGCACTGGAATAGCGAAAGATACCTTCCAAAAACTACGAATTTGTTAGCAATAAAGAAAAGGGTGCTGAACTGCGATGTAATAACAAATCCTCCTGTAGGGCAATGAATTCGAGACAATTTCTTCACAGATGAAGAGAATACTTGAGGCAACCGAAATATGGTTCTACAGAAGGATGTTGCGGATATGGTATTCTCGGCATCCTTCTGTAGCATTTCTCTGTCCATGGCAGTACAAGCAAAGACAAAATGTTAAGGAAAATGGATAGATTTGATAGATTGTAATATCTTCAAGGCACCTATCATGTTGAAACACCAGTTCTCGTCAGATTACAGAAGTTAAGCAACGTCAAGCCTGGTCCGTACCTAGATGGATCACTGCTTGGGAATAACAAGTATTGTAAACTTGGATATGCGGGTGATGTAGTGGATAACAGATCGGGAAGAGAAATAAGAGTAGCGAGTTCGAATTCCAGTTGGGCCTGTTACATTAACTTACGCAAATACCCTTGAGCGTTCATGAATTGAAGAGACATGATCGCCCAAGCTGGACAACAGTTATCATTTTTGCTTGTAATATAATTAATCACAATTGGCCATGCTATTTGCATTTCAGTTATACAAGAGAAATGAATGTTTTGAATCAAGCTAATAATTAGATTCTAAACCAAAACAATAGAAGCGAGAATGATGCTTAGAATGAAAACCAAATTCTTTATATTAATCACAATAATGCCAAAGCATATGACAATCATTCAAACTGGCAAAATGGCGAATTGTTCACCATCAGAATTTTATTAATAAAAAGAATAGTTTATCTCCCAGTCAACTGAATTCTTAGCTTAAGCAATAGCTGTGAGTGAACCATACTTCACACACACACAAACACCCATACACATTGTGGGATATCTAATAACAAAAGTGATGAAAAGAAAAAGAATCTAATTTAAATCGGCTAAAATAAAAAAAAAATCATTTAAAATTTAAAATTCCCAGCATCCCTCGTCCATACGCATGTGTAGACGCACCAGCATAACAAATTTAATCCGATGGAGTCATGAAGGACGAAATGTGTCACAAGAAAACTTTTTCCGCTTCGATATATATATATATCATTATCTAAAAGTTTGTCACTTAACTGATTGATATTACCTTCAGCATTCCGACTCCAGAGTTTCGTAGACGGACCCATCCGTCCACTCGTCAGGGGAGTATCAGCAATTGACTGCTTACGTTTCTCGATTTTTCTTTTTCATGCTATTATCATTGGTGTAAGTCTGTGCGGATGAACGCGCGCGTGCGCCTGTCTGCGCGGATGTGAAATGTGTCAGGATTATTTGTCCTTTTCTTCGTTTTTTTTTTCCACTTTACACTCACCCCTTAGCTTTTTCTCATTTTTTTTCCCTTTCTCTCTTTTCTTTCAATTGTAGTCATTTATAGCTATTTATATCGGTTTTTTCCTCTCGACATGTTATCGTTTTTAATTTTAATTTTTGAGCGTTCTAGACTTTTCTTGGGCTAGGATTTCGTTTTTTTACATGAACAATTGATATTAATACTTAAATAATAATTATTTTTATGCCTTCACTTGGCTATGTTTCGTTTTCTTATTTGGTTTGGTGGTATCTTAAGTATTAATTGCAGGAGGTTAGGTTTATAATTAAATCTTTATTTATCATTGTTTGAACTTATGTGCATATACCTGTATTTATACGCTTGCGCAATGCAAACGCTCACAATATATGCGTGTACGTATATAGTTATACACACGTGCACATATATACACATATAAACGAGCACACATAGGCACATGTACACTTCTGTCTGTATTTTGTTATTAATAAACTAGTGTTTAAATGGTAAAGTTATTTTTCCATTTTTAGGGGATTCATTGTGGTTGGTTGGGTTTATAGAGTTTTTCTTTGCTGTTTGAATATGCATATAGATTATATACTCACGTACACTCAGACACGCACCCGCCTGTACGAAAATATATGTAATTTTTAAATAGTGTATATGTAGTAAATTAAATATCTGCTTATATCATATGATATTGTTTATCTAATGTTTCATTTTTATTTAATGGTTAATAGTTGTTTTTTGTTTTTGTTTTGTTTTGTTTTGGAGTTATATATTGAGGTAGGAATTATGGAGGGTTAGGTTTGTTCGTTTGTAGTTGTTTGAGCGTATGTGTGTGTGTGTGTGTGTGTGTGTTATATGTAAATTCATACACACGTATAGGTATATATATTTAATATTTGTTCGTTTATCGATTTATTAATAATTATTTTTTTTAATTTATATTATATTTAATTTATTTATTCAAATTTTATATATTTATTTTGTTTATTTTTAATTAGTACTTAGATAGGAATTAAGTAAGTATTTATTTTGTTTAATTAAGTAAAGTATTTATTTTGTTTATTTTTTAATTTGTTTATTTTAATTAGATAGGAAAGTAAGTATTTATTTTGTTTATTAAGTAAGTATTTATTTTGGTTTATTTTTAATTAGTACTTAGATAGGAAAGTAAGTATTTATTTTGTTTATTAATTTTTTAGTAAGTATTTATTTTGTTTATTTTAAGTATTTATTTTGTTTATTTTAATTAGTACTTTAGATAGGAAAGTAAGAATTTATTTTGTTTATTAAGTAAGTATTTATTTTGTTTATTTTTAATTAGTACTTAGATAGGAAAGTAAGTATTTATTTTGTTTATTAAGTAAGTATTTATTTTGTTTATTTTTAAGTAGTACTTAGATAGGAAAGTAAGAATTTATTTTGTTTATTAAGTAAGTATTTATTTGGTTTATTTTTAATTAGTACTTAGATAGGAAAGTAAGTATTTATTTTGTTTATTAAGTAAGTATTTATTTTGTTTATTTTTAATTAGTACTTAGGTAGGAAAGTAAGTATTTATTTTGTTTATTAAGTAAGTATTTATTTTGTTTATTTTTAATTAGTACTTAGATAGGAAAGTAAGTATTTATTTTGTTTATTAAGTAAGTATTTATTTTGTTTATTTTTAATTAGTACTTAGATAGGAAAGTAAGTATTTATTTTGTTTATTAAGTAAGTATTTATTTTTTTTATTTTAATTAGTTTACTTTTATTTTGATTTTAGGAAAGGAAAGTAAGTATTTATTTTGTTTATTAAGTAGGTATTTATTTTGTTTATTTTTAATTAGTACTTAGATAGGAAAGTAAGTATTTATTTTGTTTATTAAGTAAGTATTTATTTTGTTTATTTTTTAATTAGTACTTAGATAGGAAAGTAAGTATTTATTTATAGCCTACATTAACCAATTATTTCAATTTTCTTATATAAGAGTTTATTTTGGTTTTTAAAACTAATTATTGCTAATTTTTCTTCTAAGCATAATTTGCAGTTTTTACTGTTAATACTGTATGAAGTTGCTCTTTATAATTTCTCATTTGATAATGATGGGGATATTGTTTTGTTTTTGACTCCATATGTTTTATTGGCTTGTATTGCTTGTGTATTTTTTCTTCTTTTTTTTTTGTGGTTATAATCTATTTCTTTTAAGTTTTTTTTCTATAACGCTTATGTAAATTTTTTCGTCTATGCCAATATTATTAGTTACGATAGCTTTGTATAACATTCATTCTGCAGTTGCATTTGATGGTGTTACTTTGCTTGATGTTATTGATATTGCTGTTGTAACTGTTATTGATTTTGTTGAGTATTTTTATTGTGCTTAGTTATTATTTTCTACATGTTATCCATGCAGCTGTAACTAATTTTTATTGTATTTTTATTGATAATTTTTTTTTAATAATTTTCTGTTTTAGGGAAGTGTTTGTCAGTTATTTAGAAGAATATTTTCCCTATTTTTTATTGCATTTTTGTGGACGTAGGGAACCAAATTATGTTTCTTTTTCGGTTGTTTGAATTGTTTTCGTTTTCGCTTTCTTATTCTAGTTTGTTTGAATATCCGCTGTTTCTTACGCCTGAGTCATATGTTGTTTTTTGTTTTGCTTTCATTGAATATTTTTAAGCTACTAGAATTTGTTGAAATTCTTTTATTTATAGATATAGGTATTTGTTTGAATTCGTTAGAAAGGGTTTACTCTTAATGTATATTGTATTGTTGTTTGGTTTCCTGTATGGTTTGTATGTTCCGTTGTTTAGGTTGAATTTTATATCTAAGAAATTTACTATTTTTGGTTGGAGTTTATATAAATTGTAAATCATAAGGTTTTGAAGGTTTTTATTTGTATATGAGTGTTATATATATAAAACACTCACATGCACACTACACAGTACAAAAAATGCTAACAGAACAAGAAACATTATATGGTTTAACCCACCGTACAACAAAAAAGGAAACAGAAACATAGGAAAAATATTCTTTAAACTCATTCACAAACACTTCCCCCTCACCCAATCAAGCACTCTTCACCAGATATTTAACAGAAACACATTAAAAACTAGCTACAGTTGCACTGAAAATATAACACTAATAATAAAAAGCACAAAAGAAAAATAACCTACAAATCACTTACAACATCCAAAATTGCCTGTAACTGTAGAGCAGACATGAATATCCCTGAACCAGCAATTGTCTAAAAAGCAATATAATATACTAAACCATTGAATAAACAACAGAACACAAAGAAAAATACAAAAAGGTTTAAATAAAGGACACTGGAAACAGAAAACTGTACTAAAAATCTCTTTTAACAACAGTAAATAAACGAACAGCACAACTCTTTCTAAACACATATGGGAACTAAATAACAGAAAGCTAAAGACACCAAAAATATCATGGAAAATAAGGAAAACAGCATTAGCCTAAATTACTCCAAAAACAGTTAACTTTGTCTGGAGGAGAGAAAAAAAACATTATCACCAGACCAACATAAATTACTAAATAAACAATCAGAACTTATCTCAAAATACAGTCATGAAAACACTTCTTTACTGCGTTACTTAAAAATGTAAAACTAAAAATGTATATCTTGTAAAATATCACCAAGAAAATGCAAATATATTGCCAATACCTTAAACAAAACGAACAAATAAGATGCTCCTTCAAAAGCAAAAAATAAACAAATGATAAAATAAAATTAATGAATTAAGGAAATAAACAAATTAACAGTGTACGCATGCGCGCATAATCACAACTATGTACATTTAATATTAACAATCAGTAGTGAATATGCAATAAATACATAAATACAAAACATGCTAAGTAATCAGTAATCATATTCTAATTGTGCTTGTCCCTCTATTCGTTAGCTCGCACGACAATTACGTTTTACCAGTGCCTCATAAATAATGGACTATTCCGTTTTGATCGCGTGGAAAGAGAGAAAAAGACACTACTTGGGTTCAGTGAGAAAAAGAAAGAAAGAAGTGTTTAATGTCTCCTGACAATAC